TTCTGTTAGTGTTGTTAGCCAATTCATGAACATCCCTTCGGAAGAACACATGAATGCAATCTACAGAATTTTTAGATACCTCAAGATGAATCCAGGCAAAGGGCTACTGTTTCAAAGGAATAAGGATCGAAGTATATAAGTGTATTCAGACGCAGACTGGGCAGGGGATGTCTCGGACCGACGATCGACTTCCAGTTATTATACTTATCTTTGGGGAAACCTAGTCACTTGGAGAAGCAAAAAACAATCTGTGGTTTCAAGAAGCAACGCTGAAGCTGAATTCAGAGCTATTGCACTCAGGGAGGGTCTGCGAAGAAATATGGATTCGAAGAATACTCAGCGAACTCGGAATGCTAACTGAAAAAACTATCAAACTACAATGGTAATGTGACAACCAGGTTGCCATCAGCATTGTAAAGAATCCAGTACACCATGACAGAACAAAACACATCGAGATCGATACACTTCATCTCAGAAAATATTGAGAGAGTCGTCGAACTTGCATACATTCATTCCCGACATCAAACAACAGATATCCTCATTAAGCCTCTCCACTAAGCCTCTCATAAGAATCAACTTTGAAGAATTATATAACAAGTTAGGCATATATAATCTGTACAACCCAACTTGAGGGGGAGTGTTGAAAGATCTAAAAAATATTAATTATTATATTTCATATTTGTTATAACTCTATACTTAGAGGGTTATAAATTATATGAGGAATATTGAGAATTTCTATTTATTTCTTTCCTTAAATTAGAGAAATTAGTTGCCTCTTATATTTTGTTATAATTCCTTTTTTTTTCTACTGTATTTTGTTTTTATTGTTTTCCTTACCTGTCTCTTATATTTTGTTATAATTCCTTTCTTTTTCTACTGTATTTTATTTTTATTGTTTTCCTTACCAATAAGTCCTATAATGTGTATTTATACCCCTCTTTTCATTAATAAAATTAAGTCTTCTCATATATTTTCACAAGTTTAATAAATGCGCAATAAATGAACAATCCTACAATTACATGTGGAGATCCCTATAAAGGAGAGTTGAAGAAAAAATGTATCTTACCTTAGTTTTCTTCGAACTGGTCATTTTTACTTATCTTTCATCGGTGATCATGGAGAGTGGTCCCCCCTCTAAGGTAGACAAGTTCGGAGAGGGAGCCCGAAAAATGGTTGTCCGAGCGGTGAAGCAGCGAGCGAAGGCCTCTTACAAGAGCATGCACCCTGAAAAAGCCTCCCGTGGTTGAGATGAGGCTCCCTGAACTGGGTGACAAAGTTGGGTCATCCTACTCGCTTTTTGACCGCCCCACAGAGAGGCCCCAAGTGAGGTAGGGTGGTTTCTAGGTGAAGAAATGTTGGACGATGGGAGTAACCCATATGGAGGTCAGGTCAGCAAAGTTGGTAACTTCCACACGGGACCCGTCTATGTTGGAGGAAGAGCAGAGGAAAGGGACTGCAACTACGATGATGCAGTTGGAGGAATCGAGGGTGACTATTCAGAAGATAGTTCATGATCCTCCACTGGTGGATGCTCCTAGAGTTGTTGCCCTTCCCCCATCGGTGGAACAAGAGGCTGAGGGAGCTTGCACTTTTATTACCTTGGATCTACATAAGATAGGTCTGACATCTGGTGAATGAACTGACACCCCGCCTCCAATGGAATGTGGTGCTAGCGGGACTATCGCTGATATGGGGTCTACTAAGGACGCTCAGGGGGAGTACTGGAGGAGGCAACGGTTTGTCCTGCAGTTGACCCTGTTGAGGCGGCCGACACTTCGGGGCCGACAAGCTTGATAAGACTCCTGCTTTGTGAGACTGAGGCTTTACCAATTTGGGAGGTTGATTGTGCTCATTCTCAGGACACTCAGCTAAAAAAACTGGAAAAAGAGCTTGTTGTGATGCGTGCCCGAAAGTCCATTCTCCGAGATGAAGTCTCGACACTTCAGGCCGAAGTGTTTGCGATCTGGGAGACACTTTCATTCTGCGGGCTTCAATGTGAAATAGAATGAGTAGATATGTTTAGTTTAGAAGGGGAATTAGTTTATCGGTGATTGTCTCAACTTAGTTATGCTCCGACTGAGGCGTCGACCGATGTTTTTATAAGGTATTTCCTTTCCGGCTGATAAGTTGTAACCGAGAGGATTTATATTGTAAATATAAATATTTTGCTCAAGTGAAATTTATAATTTTTGCTTATCATAATATCTATATGATGTGACTCCATACTCCCGGTTCAATGTGACAAAAGAACCTTATGTCCCTGTGGTGTTTCAACTTTTTGTTGTGTACTATATGTAGGATCAGCCCCAGGTGAGAGAAAATATTACATCCGGACACCGGATGTCCGGACAACGGCCCAGATGCAGCGGAGTAGGGGAGGAATCGGACCACCGCCCTCCTCGCTGCAACCGAGCCGGTCGGATATCCAGAGTCCTAATGTAACATTTTCTCCATGAGTGGAGAGAATAGTTCTTAGTGAAATGACACTACATCAAACATTTATTGGTGGGTAATATCCACAAGTACTAACAACTGCTAATAGACGTCAGCTGACTGTTATTACGTTCCTCCATCATTTCCTCCATCATTGGATTTCGACATTTGATCACTTGGACCATGAGGAGTAATTTGGGCTAGCCCTTCATCTGTCCAATCTTTTGAATCTCTCATGGATTTATCGTTGCTATTTTTTTTTGGATGAGTGGTGTCTGATAGATTTTCATAAACTATTCATCACAATTTTAAATCACTCTCTTTCTAATTTGATCCATTGATTCATGAGCATGTTTACGTCTAAAAGTATAAAATATATCTTCAAAATAAATCTCCGTAAAATTGGTTACAGGGTTTTGAGTGGCTTCATATTTTTTAATAATATTATTAATCTGCTCAAGCTTTTCTTTTTCATTAATTTAATGCCACCCTTTATAAAAAATTATCGTTACAGACATAACAGATTAAACTGTTATTTTCCTGGACAATTTTTTCAAGGCCAGATCCAATAAATTTGATAGTCAATAAGGAAATGAGCTAAAGTCTATCCCTTGGCCAAATCCTCATTTTTTACATCTTTTAATTTTGGGTATAAATCAACCCAGAATTCGTACATGCATATTTTTTTTGTTAGGCACAATATCTAATTTTGCACCGACATAATTCAACCCTCTTTATTTAAAATCCGCTATATAAAATGATTTTGTCATATCATTTACCTAATTTCAATAATTTACTCAAATGCATTGTTGTATATTAGATGATAGAAAAAAATTCTATCTTGATATGAATTAAGTCTCTAATAATGATGATAAATAATGTTTTGTATAACAAATTTACTGCACAAACATGTTGAATTGCTTCATGGAGGCTATGGTGCATATCTATACATTTTAATTGAATTAATATTTTTTCATAGATCTCTCTTGTGAGATGGGATTCATTAGAGAAAATTGTTCTTTCCAAATATATTTCTAGCGAAAAAGGTGTATACTTAATGTGGCTATCTTCTATATTAATTTCAAGAATACTTTGTTTGAGCTTCTTAATAGTATAAGATGATCTAGGTGTGGAAGAAGTTAGTACTTATTTTAAAGTTGTAGGCTCTGATGAAGCATGTGCCTTAGATGTTTCTCCTTGTTCTTTTTTAAGAGAAATTCCATATAAATATTCTCTTAGGTCAAGTTCACCTTTAGGAAGGTACTTTCCTTCAATATAGATGGACTTATATAATTTCTAATTCTTGGGCTCTTACTCCTCTAATAGAACTTAAAAATTGTCTTATATTTGCAAAATATATTCTCTAATTACACGTACTATAGCATCTCTACCATGAGCACAAAATGTAGATTTGGGAGAAAATATTTTTCCTCCTTTCACATATTTTATTTTTTTTATGTCCTCTCCTAATCGAAGTTAAACACCATCCTACAATTGCATAATATAGTTCATCATTAAGTGCTCTAGTATATCTCTACCAAAATGAATATCTTGTAGCTATAGTTATTATTGCTTCTGAAGACATACAATCTTTGTGGTGGGGGTTTGATCTTAGCATTGCACAAGTGAATTTAATCTTGTCTCCTTGTGCGCATTTAAACTCCACGACAGTGGAGTACGCAAGTTTGTCATTTAAGCTCAACACAAAAGTTCCCCACATAAACAAATGAATAATAAAAAGAGAAAAAGTCCCAAGATATTTTCAAGAAAATCTAACCAAAAGAGAAAAATCATGCAACTAGCTTAGGTAAAAAAATCCACTTTGTTCATTCAAATTAAAATAGTTCACTCTTCCATTTAATTATTGAAGATGACGGCATAATGTTATGTGCTTCATATTAGCTTGCTTTCTAATGATTTTGGTGAAAGTAATGAGAGATGAAGATAAAAGTTGAAAGAAGTCAGTCAAGATTGAAGATGAGTATAACGTTATGTGCTTCATATTAGCTTGCTCTCTAATGATTTTGATGAAAGTAATAAGAGATGAAGATAAAAGTTGAAAGAAGTCAGTCAAGAGAAGAGCATCTGGTTATGACAATTGAGTGATGATGATGCAATGATGGTCAAAAGATGATGATGAAAATCAGATGTTGGTGATCAAATGATGACAAACGAGTTATGGTAGTCTGATGATGGTAATTAGTCGATAATAGTTGAACAATGACAATTAATGGTGGACAAAGAGTGACAGCTAAATAGCAGTGTTGTATAACATTATTTGGATGATGATAGTCAAATGACGGTGGTCAATTACTAAAAATCAGAAGATGGTGATAGATGATGACGATCGGGTGATAGTAGCCAAATGATGGTGATTTGGTGACAATGATTTGTCAATAGTAATTGGGCAATCAAAGTCAGGTGATGAAGGTTAAGAGATAACGATCAGACAACGATAATCCAACAATTGAGCGTAGATGACAGTGACCATTAATTATTATCGACATTAAACATCAACTAGAGCTCTAAGATTCTTTAGATCTACAAACTCAAGTGACCGTTGGTTGTTTTATATAAGCTCATTTGGGCTCCAAATTTGATCAATTTTGATGTCTTGGTTTTATTTCATCGAGTCACTAAGCTTGACTATGTCTTTACATTTGCTTGAATCACTGCTCCAATTTAAAAATTAACTCTCAAAATTATTTTATCGAAATTACATCGAGATCCATATCTTATCAAATTGATTTCTTCGGTAATATACTAATATACACTAATGTTAAAAGTTTAAATGATAAATTAGCTATAAGTACGATTGAGTCCCTTCTTTAAATATAAAGTTTTGATTAATTACTTGTAGTCATTTGATGGGAAGAGGTGGTGCATGCGGCCTACCTCTGGTCTCATGAGAAGTCTGGCCGAAGAAGGCCGCAAGTTCTCGCCGGCAAATGTCGAGGGTGCCGGTTCTTCCAAAGCCGGGAAACACCTCTGCGGCGGCGATGAACGCATCGTAAGTGTAGAAGCTGCCGGGGCACCTGAGATCGCCGCGGTGTTTAAGCATTTCCTCGAACATCTGACGGCTGATGATTGAGCTCACGCTCTCGCATGGCCCATCTGCTTCCCCTGTTTCCGGCGGCCCGAAATGACGGAGAAACGAGGCCAAGAAGGGCAACAAGAGCAAGGCTAGAGCCAAAACTTTCATCTTTAATTGCTTGATTATTGTAGCAGCTAGCTAGTTTTGCTTGATCTCTGGTATATATGGGCGCATGATGATGGTCGTAAGTTCGCCGGAGAAAAATATAAACGATTTTCACGAGGCTGGCGGTCATGGATGGTTACGGGAGATTTGAAGGAGGATCCGATGATACGATGATAAATTAATGATCGATCAAATTTGTTCAAACTATCCAATAAAAAACGTTTTGATATTTTTCAAAAAATTAATGGTTGAATAAATCAGGGCTGGACTTAGTTGGGATTTAACCACTCCCAAATTCAGATTTTTTTACTTTTTAAGAGAGAGCAATTTGGTTACCCCTAATCTAAGGTTGAGTCTAATCAAAATAATTAATTTGTGCTAGGAGACTGGATGATAGAGAAAAGTAAATTTACAAATAATACACAATTGATATATTTTAGTATAGTTTTATTATTCATTAGTAGAGGTGTAAACGAGCGGAACACCAGCGAGCCTGGATCGACTCTTGTATGGCTCGTTAAAAAATATCAACATTTGTGTTCGGCTCGTTTATATTAGAACATAAAATGTGTGCTCGTGCAAACCGAGCATGAACACACATTTTGTGTTCGCGAGCCGAGCACGAGCTGTTCACGAATAAAGAGTCGTTTTGAGAACCTCAATCACGCAACTGTAGGATGTTGGGGGCTGGGGCAATATTTAAATCTTATTAATTATATTAAATTATCATTTAAATATCATTTAATATATTTTTATTTTATTTTTTTAATTAATATATTTAATTGATTATAAATTTGTATAGCTTTGTAGTTAATTTATTTTTTTTTTTAAAATGCAAAGAATAAATAAATATTTAATTGATTATAAATTTTTATAGCTTTGTAGCTAATTTAATTTTTTTAAAAAAATGCAAAGAACAAATAAATCTTTATTCGTTTTCAGCTCGTTCATTTATCGAGCAAAAAAAAAGTGTTCGTGTTCGACATGTTAACCTAGCAAACGAATCGAACACGATCTTCTTGACAAGTTGAACACAGACCTGTTTTGACAGCCCTACTCATTAGCTTTATTTTACTTGAATTTGACTTTGTATGGACCATACATCTCTGATAAAAACTAAAAACGAG